AGCTCTAACCAACTGAGCTACAGAGGCCAGTTGTCAAGCTCTAACCAACTGAGCTACAGAGACCAGTTGTCGAGCTCTAACCAACTGAGCTACAGAGGCCAGTTGTCGAGCTCTAACCAACTGAGCCACAGAAGCCAGTTGTCGAGCTCTAACCAACTGAACCACAGAAGCCAGTTGTCGAGCTCTAACCAACTGAGCCACAGAAGCCAGTTGTCGAGCTCTAACCAACTGAGCTACAGAGACCAGTTGTCGAGCTCTAACCAACTGAGCTACAGAGGCCAGTTGTCGAGCTCTAACCACAAGTTCATGTATATACACTAGGGTACCGCCATAAACCTTGTTATAGAAGCGACTGATCCATTGACCATTGGTACCATTTGACCTTGTTAATGAGTGACTTTGAATTATATAGGAAAGTTGGACAAATGCAAGCAAAAAACAACGGGAGAAACTACTTGAACTGATACGAAGATTAGCTGAAGACGACAAAGAAGGTGTGATGGCCCACAAGGTAATATTTAAATTGTAGCCATGTTGCCTGCACGACATACACTGATCTGAAAATACCACTGCGTTGCATAACCTTGTTATTCACTGCTGTATTGACTATTGTCCAGATTCTATTGCGGTGAAACGGTAACATGTATTATTACTGTAATACAAAAAATTGATGTGAAATTCAAGGAGGCTGATTATATATCTTACTATGGCGAAATGATTGAGTCCATGCTCCATGGTTGTTATATTTCTACATTTTAATATTTACATTTTTTAACCGTTCATATAACATAATTTAAGGCATAACAGCGAACATTTTGCACATTGAAGCCGAACGTCATTATGGTTTCTTTCTCTCATTTTACCATGATTGTATAAATTTGCAAATTGCTTAAAATGAACCTTGTTGTGAAATGTTAAGGAGTTTCTAGGCTTTCCCCACAAAGAAAGAACAATTCTTAAAATTTTCGTATAAAAATTGATATCTGGGTGTTTACTTATCTGTTACTGAAGGTGCTTGGTTTGTTATGGAACTTGGCGCATAAAGATGACGTCCCAACAGACATTATGGATCAAGCTTTAAACGCACATATCAAGATATTGGACTACAGCTGTTCACAGGTATGTTAACTGCACATGAGACTGCTGCACTGCCGAAGGGTGTATTTATGCACTCCAGTGGCCCAGGTGGGACTTCAGTAATAGAACCTACGTACTGTGCTATATTCTGAAAAAACCCGCAGTGCAATTTGGTATATATGTAGTATATTGTCTACGAGAAGCAGTTTATTAGGATGACTTGAATCACCAAAAAGTGTTTTGAAAACGGGATGCTTGCCGAGATTTTATAACATACTTTGACATCTTTTCGGGGCAACATTACTTTCATAAATGACTTAATTCGAGTGTACGATATGATGTTAAAGGGACCAGTATTTAAAAATAAATTTAACACGAAACTTGACTTGTTTTATGGACCTTTATTACACCATGTTTTGCTGATGAATTATTAAAGAGTTCGAGGGTTGTGTTATGGAGATAAAATCACCTGAAAATACAAACAGAACTTCGACGTTTTACTTCTCGACGAAGAGTCTTCTCTCGAAATATCGAAGTCCTGTTTGTATTTTCCAGATAGTTGTATCTCCTACATAACGCTGTTGTTTGTAATTATCACAACCTACACTTGCACCGACCGTACGAGATTTTAAGTTAGAGAGTTTATACCTGTCACGTTTTAGGAAGCGTTACTATTTTTACACTTTTGTAATTTTGTATTCTTTTGTATTTTAAACTTAACCCTAATCCGAACCCTTACTCTAATCCTAACCCTAATCTTAATCCTAACCCTTGCCTTAATCCAAACCCTAATCCTAACCCTAAAAGTCTAATAACTGTTCCTAAATCGTGACTCATACGAGAGAGTTGTTGTACTACATATATATTCACCACAAAATTCGTAACCTCGTGCCTATATACTTCGGTAACTTGACTTTATTTGAACATTTATATTCATAATTAGGATCGTGACTCTCAGAAGACGCAATGGGTCAACAAATGTGTTGAAGAATTACGTAATGATACCTGGGTGTTACCTGCAATCAAGCAAATTCGAGAAATATGTTGTTTATTTTATGAGGTAAAGTTACTTCGTTATATATCGTTTTGTTTCTTGAAAGAAAACCCTCCATCCATTTCTCTCCCTTCCCTATATTTTGGGATCATGCCCTCTTGTGTATCGTCTCCATTTAAATCAATTTCATGCAACATCTTCCGTAAGTCCTATCTCTTTAATTCCATGATTTCATTTTATTCTTGGTCTTCCGCTGAATATTTTTCCATTTTGAAAAAACGTCTTGCTCAGCAATCTTCATGAAAGTGTTTAGCTTATCCCCTCCTTTTTAACTCAATCCACCTCTTTAGTAACTCTCCCATCATTACAACAAAAACACCCCCCTTCTTTTCTTTTTTGAGATGGTTTATCCCCTCGTTAAAGAAGGGGGGGGGGGGGAATCGAACTATGTACATTAGTGTAACTCTGCTAAATGTTCATATAGTGAATTGTAATTCTCGACTCGTAATCGTGCATATATGTTTTAGGCACCTCAAAATTACTCGCATACACAAAAGAATCCACACGTATTTTATCGTCACGAAGTACTTAATGATTTACAAACCCAACACCAACTAATATCACTAATGGCTGCCAACTTAAGGAGTTATATGTCCAAAGTCAGAAGTCTAGGTGAGTGGAATACATTTATTATACAGGGTGTATTAAAAAGATCATTAAACTTTGGCATGTTATATCGTGCGTTAGGTTTATCGTATATGGAATTTCATTCTCCATACCAAATACCTGTTTTCTATATCATTGTGATAAAAATAGCCAAATACAATCCGATTTATAGAATGGCCAGTCAAAATTGCATTTTCCCGTCATTGGTGCAAAATTATTAGTCTGAGTATTGAAACTATTCTCATTTCGGATTCAGATTTAAGAATTGAAATAAAGGAACCCTAACGTATGGGTTATTTATCGATCCTTAGTAAATAAAATGGTTCAACTTCCGATGTAACAACGATGTTTCGTGGTTAAAATATTTTGCGAAACTGGAAGTTTGCAGAGACCTTGCGATGCCGAATGTTTTGTAGATAGCCAACTTCAATTCGGGCAAATGATTGAAAACGTGTTTTCGACCAGCAATTTTCAATCGTATCTTATTTTTTCAAGTTTCCTAAAACATTTTTTTTATATAAACATATTTTAATAGTTTTTTTTGCATTTGCCCAAGAGCACAAAGGCTCATCTATGTCGCTCACACAACATTTACATGATTTTTGTTACATCCCCAAAGCAACAAAGTTGTTTATAATTTCTTGATAAGTTCATGCATTTTTCGTAACCGCTCATGGTCAGATCTAATCAATGTATAAAATCTACACTTGACGTTTCCATCTACATATGGATACACCGCAGTAATACAGCTGCATGCATGAAATATGCTTATTTTCTATTGATCTTTTTCAACAGATAAATTAACATCAGATCCCAATAGTTTGGTACTGGATGGCAGGTACTCTCATGTTCAACAAGTTCAGAAACGACTCAGTTTTCTTAGGTAAGTTTCGATATTGAAATATGCCTTCCAATCATTATTTATCATCACCTTTTCCCGAAGTACTGGAATTTTTTTCTAAATCCTTACTATGGAAATAGTATATGGATCCTGGTTGGAAATAGTATGAAATCCAATTCCCATACTAACTGCCATCTCCATATACTGTACAATGGAATATAACAATGCAGTGTGAATATAGTAGTGATGTACATGTATACTAGTATATGGATTTCACCATTTTTTTCCAATGGAAAATAAAATAGATATTTATATATGTCATAATATTTATTTGCTGATAAGTTTATTATTTGATAATTTATTCCGATAAAACTGTAATATGAACAATATTAAGCACTGTTTGCTGTAACAGTATCACCTGATGACGTTCTTTTTATTCAGGTTTATACTTAAAGACGGGCAACTCTGGTTGTGTGGTCCTGAAGCAAAAATCGTAAGCCCTTGATTTGCCAAAGAAATGTGTTTGTTTGACAATCGAAATTCTTATCTATTAACAAAATCGCTCTCATTTCTAGATTTGGGAAGCCTTAGCTGAGAATTCAGTCTTTCCCAGTGACAGGGAAGCTTGTTTCAAATGGTTTTCAAAGGTATGCATCATCTTGCGTGAGGAAGAGCATGCACATCGAATGCCATTTGACTTCAGTCATAGTGTTATAACAGCTATAAATTAAGTACTTTTTTATGGAATTTAATGGCCACACTATTTCGCGAAGTGTCCGCCACTAGGAATCATGGGGGCACTGGTCAGTGAGTGCCAATTGTCTCCACTGCCGTTCTCAACTTCTCGTTATCTCGTGTGATGTCACGAACACTTTAGAACAATTTATTTAGATCCCAAATGTTGACCAATACTTTCATGGTCGCAAAAACTTTGTCACGGCTTTGTTATACAGATATTAAGCTACTAATCAACTTTCTACTAAAATTCCTTATATTACTATTTTTTTCATAGCTCATGGGTGAAGAGCAAGATCTGAATCCTGAAATTAGTGGAATGTTTTTTGAAAGCAAAGTTTTAAAAATAGACCAAAGTTGTTTGACAGAAAATGGAATGGAGTATGTATATATGCTCATTTTCCTCGTTCTTGAGTCCTTGGCGAACTATAGAAAACATTGCTGCTGAAACACTGTTTTCCATACAAAACGCTTATGTCACCCTGTTAATATCAGGGCGACAACAGGGTGACATAAAAACGATATGTCACTGATATCTTTTTTGTCACCAATATCGCTTTTTGTGCCGCAATTTTAATAATTTTGCATTCGGGCAATGATTAATATTCTAATAAATTCTGGCCTTGATAAAGGTGCAAGTATATTATAATAAACAGGTTATCATAATCGGGGTGAGGTGATATCAGTTTTATCGCTTTGAGGACGATATCATAAATGTCCCTCGTTCGCTGCGCTCACTCGTGACTTTGAAGATATCGTCCCTCAAGCGATAAAACTGATATCGCCTCGTCCCTCGTATGATAACCTACAGTATGCATATAAAAGCAAAGTGTGTAAAGGTAAACTGAGTACATGTAGTGAAATTCCGATGAATAATGAACACCCAATCAAAGGCCATAGGTTGCGACGTTGCGTCACGTGCATACCCTTGTAAAACCTCGTACAAATTGAGTATAATAATTGGGTACTTACGCTAATTGCCAATTATGTTCAGGCACTAGTAGTTATAACTGTTAGAACCACAAGTGCTTGATACTAGTTTGCATTTGAATTCTAGATTCCCCTTATTTCGTTTTCGTAGCGCTTTGCATTGTGGTTATAGTGGTATCACTGATAAAGTTAGCGGCCTCGAATGAAAATATTGAATGTTTACGCGAATATTTTGCTGTTAGCTATCGCTCACCTGACCCTAGCTTTTTTTAAAAGTTCTTGCGCGGGTCAGGACAAAAAATAAGCCATCTTGAATATCAGTGATACCACTATAACCACAATGCAAAGCGCTACGAAAACGTAATAAGGGGAATCGTCAATTGGTTCATTTCACAAAATATCTATTTCGCTCGTTGTTACATTTTCAATACAGTACTACCGTTCACGTTGTAAACATTATAGTTACCTCATTTTGTACCGCCTTTAATAACTACACTGTCTCTTGTTAGGTGTTTTGAAAGATTTTTTCAAAAAGTGAATGTCAAAGAAGGAAAGTTCGTTAGTAAACGTCGTATGTTAGTTATGGATGATCTTGATTTAATTGGGATCGATTATTTGTGGGAAATTGCCCTGAAAGGGTCGGAGCGGATTGTGGGAAGAGCTGTGAATTTGTTAAAACAAAGTTATACAAATCTTGGTCCAAGATTACGAGCGAATCAGGTAAGGACGTTAGTCTTCCTTGAAGAAAGAGCCTGGGAACGAGGTTGGTAGGAATTTCGAATACCATGGCCCCGGGTAAAAACAACCTCGTGCGCAGGGCTTTTGCGCTGAGTACGAGGTTGGTTGAGCGAGATCACGCATTGGTGAGCTATTCTTCCTATATAAACGGACGTAAGTAGGATTTCAATTAGCCATTTCCCAAAGTCCTGGGTCTAGTCGCGCAAATCCCATGTTGGAGGGACAAGAAATATGGCAGCACATATTTAAATTAAAAGTTTAATGTAAAAAAGAGATATTTCATTTTTGGTCGTCTAAAAAGTTGATATTTGATAGTAGATACATCTACTCTTTCACATATTTGACGCCTGTCACCATATATTTTGTCCCTCCAAACGGTCCCAGAATGCACTGTGATCTCTTTTGCGAAAATGCTAATAGGTACGCGGGATCTCGCTAAGGAGGGCCACTATGTACTGTATGTAGGATGATATATACTATTATGATGTTGTTGTTATAGGTGGACATACACGAAAAGATAATCCAAAAATGTATGCATCACCTTCAACCCTCGTACGAGGTTCTACAGCAAGAATCAGCGGACAAGAAAAACTCTAAAAATAAAGCGAACGATTCAAAAATACATGAGGCAGCATTACGTATTGTGAGATGTTTAACTGTCTTGCGAGAATACATAGCTGAATGTGATGATGATTATGGCGAGGAAAGATTAATTTTACCGCATGGTAGAGCGTATTATGGCAAGCATATTACATTGATTATACGTACTGTGGCACAAGGTAGACAAACTGAAGACTTTGAATTATGGTCACATCTCAATGAAACTATTGCAACTGTGCGTCGACATATTTTACAGAAGTAAGTCAGAAGCTCATTTTTCTAGTTTGGTTGTTGTGGCACGATGGCGCTTCACCTCTGAGACTGCTGAATGTAGAGCGTTTGCACATGACGTCACAGCCGCCATGTTGGTGTTCCAATTCAGAAGAATTATAATTAGACTCTTTTGTCTGGAACACCAACATGGCCGCCATGGCTTTTGTTGAGTTGGTCCCTGGGGAATGAGTGAAAACGCTCTGTGTATATGCGCTTCACCTCTGCGATTTCTGAAATATGGAGTTTTCTTATTATAATTTCACCTCACTTGCAGAGTTGCAAACTGCGGGTAGCACCCGTGAGGAAGGTTTACCATATCTGAGGTCAGTGAGGGAGGTTTATCGTGGAACACTCTACTCAACACTGACACCACAAAACAAATAAATGATACTTGACTAGGCATGTTGATGTTGTGCTGGTAACTATTGTGGTAGTGTCGCTACCAGAGTCGCATTGGAGTATACTGCATGAGGAGAAAACAATAAAAATTGAAAAACGTTCAGTAGAAAAGAAGAATAAGAAGCCGATTCGATTTTGAATGACATAATTTATGTATTTTTCAATTCGAAAAAGCCATAATTTACATTATTTTGAGGAAGGTTTCAAAACTTAAATTTTTTCCCGGAGTTGGACATTTTTGCAGCTCTGTGCTTCAGTAGCCCGCGAGTGCTACTCGAGTCTATTTTATTTCAGTTTGACTCGCTCGAAACGCGGAAGTGTTTTTAATCGTTTCCAGATTGCTGAAACACAACGGCAGCTTCTTATAGCATGCTACCTACAATGGCCTTCGCGTTTGAGACATACAGGTAGTAGAATTTGACTGACATCATTTTTACCTAGGATGCGAACGGTGTTTCCTCAAGTCTCAAAAATCGATCTGTATGTTGGTGGGGACCTGCTCTCTCCAGTGGATGATAAAAGATTGATTGGAAAGTGTCATTTTCCTGAACGAGTGGTATGTTTGAGCCTCTTCTGTTTCTTTAAGTTGATGGCTTTCTTTAAATTGATGGTAATAACCACAGGTACTGTAATAGCATGATGTCCATGCAGTACAATTTGAGAACAAAAAATAGTCTATTCAAAGTCCACTCTGTCACTCTAGTGTGGCAATGTTGCAGGTTTATTATAAACAATGACTAGTTTACCCTGGTCAATCCATCAGTGAATTGGTCCATCCGTCTTCTCGTAAGTGAATTTGTCACAGTTAAGTATGTCCTCAATCAGCCATTATCGAGGTTCACATTTGACTTCCGCTACCTCTCACTGGCTTAGCTACCTCGCATCTGATTGGTTAATGGTAGTGACAGCGGTAGTGGAAGTCAAGTCTGAACATCTCTAATAACAATGGGAAGCTAAGACCATATGCATTATATATTCAGTGTAATTATTAAATATAAATAATTAACAGTTATTCTACGAACTCGAGTCGAATATGAGCTGATAGCCGATGAGGCGCGTAGCGCCGAATCGGCTATCGCTCATATTCGACGAGAGTGAGTGGAATAACTGTTTTATTATATACACAAGGTCTGAATTCACAG